AGTCCCAAGGCTTTGGGCCATCCTCGACTGCTTTCCCAGGCCACAAGCAGGGAGCTGGATGGGAAATGGGACTGCAGGGATTAGAATTGTCACCCACATGGGATCCCGACGTGGGCAAGGGGAGGACTCTGGCCGCTAGGCCACCGCGCCAGGCCCTAGATTTATTTTAATCTACCTGAAATGCAGAGTAATGAGGGGTGGAGAGAGACAGGAAAGAGAAAAGATCTTCCATTTGCTGGTCCATCCCCTAAGTGGCCACAAAAGCTGAGTTAAGTCTGGCAGAATCCAGGAGCCTAGAATTCTGTCTGGGTATTTTATGTGTGTGACAGCAGCCCAAGTAACTGGGTCATCTCCCCAGGCACATTAACAGAAAGTTAGAAAAGAAGTGGAGATGCTGGGACTGAAGTGACCTGGAGGTGCAGGGAGCAGCTTAATTCACTAATTGAAAGCAGCTTCTTGGCATTCTTTAGCATAACTCCAGACATATCAAACTTATTTGTTGCTATCATAATCTTTGTTACTCCTGTGGTATATGACTGCAGTAAACCTACTTCTGAATGTTCTTGAGACAATGGCTAGAGCAGTATTGCAAAAGATACTAATCATGTCTTGTAACAGATGATCTCCACTCCCACCATGCACAGTCCTTACCCAACCTGCATTTACTGGTTCACATCCCAGCTGCTCCACTTCCGATCTAACTCCCTGTTAATGGCCCAGCAAAGCAGCATAAAAGGACCCAAAGCCTTGAGTCCATGAACCCAGATGGTAGATCTGGAAGAAGCTCCTGGTTCCTTGCTTTGGATTGGCCCAGCTCTAGTCATTATGGCCTCTTGGGGAGTGAACCAGTAGATGGAAAACCCTGTCCTTCTCTCTGTAAATCTGCTTTTCCATTAAAAACAAATAAATCTTGGTGACCAACATGAAGCCTCAGTGGCTAAATCCTTACATTGCATCTGCAGAGATCCTATATGGGCACTGATCATGTCCAGTTTGTGCCAGTTCCTGTCCAGCTCCCTGCTTGTGGCCTGGAAAAGTAGAGGATGGGCCAAAGCCTTGGACCCTGTACCTGTGTGGGAGACCTGGAAACAACTCCTGGCTTCTGATTTTGGATAGGCTAAGCTCCTACCATTGCAGCTTCTTGGGGTGTGAGCCAGTAGACCGAAGATCTTTCATGCTGTATCTCCTCCTCTCTGTAAAATCTGTTTTTCCAATAATAAATAATAAATCTTTTAAAAAACAGAATATGAATATTCTTGAGAGTGCAAGAAATATTAGCACTGGTGACATCAGCATAAAAGTGCCAGATCTGCCCTCTTTTAAATACAGAAATAAAAAATTAAAGGGCCATGCCTGGGTAAAATTCATGGGAAGAAGTCACGTAACTTTATCAGAAAGTGATTTACCAAAAATAGAGGAGGAGAGTGTTAACTCTACTTGTTGGCTTGCAGGTAGTATATAGAAGCTGTGTAAAATCAGTCCAAACGTTGCATGTTGCTTTCCTTCCTCAGTGATGTTAAAGAAATGACATAGTTCAAGCATAGCTTTTTTTTTTTTTTTTTTTTTTTTGGTCACTCCTGTTTTCCTGCATGATGAGCCAGCCAGAAAGCTGTTTCATGTGGATCACAAGTGAAGCATTCCTAAATTCCGTCTGCTCTTTGTCACAATTGCTATTGAAAGAACCAAGTATGTGCTGCATGAAAACATTCTGATCTTTTTCTCTTCATTTAAATAAACTCCAACGTAACTGAACTTCCAAAACTAACAAAGACTTGGCCTGGGGTTAGCATTGTGCTTTAACAGGTAAGGCCACCACCTGCAATGCCAGCATTTCAGATGGACGTTGAATCCTGTCCCTGCTACCCCACTTCCCATCCTGTTCTAGTTAATGTGCCTGGAAGAGCAGCTCAAGACAGCCCATGTGTTGGGCCCCTGCTGCCCACATGGGAGACCCAGACGGAGTTTCTGACCTCCAGCTTCTGTCTGACACAGTCCTTGCCAATGCAGCTATTTGGGAAGTGAATCAGTGGATGGAAAATCTTATTCCCTATCTCTCTGTGGCTTACAAATCTCTCTTTCTTTCTCTTTCTCTCTCTCTCTCTCTCATAACTGGCAGGGAAAGATGGAAACATACCAGTCTGCATTTTATAAATATCAAAATTCTATTCCTAATGTTCTGTAATTTTTTTAACTTTGACAGTTCTCCTAAGTTTAGAAGGATTGTGCAGGATGAAGTGACATTTCATATTTCTTGTCTAAAACAAGTATAGTTTCTGGCTCCTAAAAGGGCACATCCAAAGCATAAACAGAGACATTTCTAAAGTTTATGTCTCTTGCAAGCATCTATACTCTGGGTTCAACTTATTTTTGAATAATGAAAGTGACTTTCCATTTTATCACATGGTCATCAATCATAACACACTTGATAAATATCTTCCAGCATTTGAAAGGCTGCTTTTAAGACAGCCTCCAATAATTTTTTTCTTTGGCTTTGCTAAATCTTTGTCAAGTGCATGTGTTGAAACAGGGGTGCCTTGACAGTTTTATAAACTCAAGGCACTAGAATGGATTTTTTAAAACCCTCTAACTGCCCCAGGCTTTGATAACCACCAAACTGTTCTCCGTTTCTATTATATTAAATAGACTTTGGTATTACACATGAGTGAGATCATGTGGCATGTGTCTTTCTTTGCCTGGCTTATTTCATTTAACATAATCGCCTTCAGTGTGGCAAATGACGGCCTCATATTCCTTTTTATGACCAAATAATATTTCACTCTCTAATTTATCTTAATTTATTTTTCATCAGTTTATCTTTCAGTGGACACTTAGGCTGATCTTATTGTTGTGAGAAGTCCTGCTACGAACAGGGGATTGCAGATATTTCTTCAAATTGTGGGTCCTGTGACACAGCTGGTTAAGCCTCCACTTGCAATGTCTACATTCTATATCCAAGTGCTGGTTGGAGTCTTGGATCCTCCATTTGCAATCTAGCTTCTTACTGGTGTGCCTGAGAGGGCAGTGAGTGATGATCCAATCGCTTGGGTTCCATGTGGAAGCTGCATGGAGTTTCTGGCTCCTGGTTCTGGTTTGATTCAGGTGGGTGTTGAGGATTTTTTTGGGAAGTGAAACAGCTTTAGATCTCTATTTGTCTCTCATTTTCTTTCTATATTCTGCCTTTCAGATCACTCAATCTTTGCAAAATGTGAGATGTTAAATTTAGCCAAGTTTGTTTGAGCAAAGAAATCTTTCTGAAAACGGCAGCATTTCAGAGCAAAGTTGGTTCAGAATGCCTCCTCCTCTACACCACATGTTCAGGTTCTATCTGTAGCCAGAGAAAAGGAAATCATGTGAAGAAAACAACCTGCTTGTTTGCCGCTAGCATTTGCCATACACAGACATGATGTCATGATGCTGTTGTCTTATATGGGCATGGTCTGATCAGCTGGTCGCTTGTGATTGGCTGGAGCTCAAATGCTGTCATTGGCTGAGACTAGTTACTTGGTTACAAAGGTGCACTCTTAGATTAGGCTTCAGTTTGATTATGACTCAAGATAGAGTTTAGTTTACTACACAGCTAGCTGCGTGGGTCAAGTTTCATCACTGGAGAACACAGACAGGTTTAGGCCAAATTTAACTCATTTTAACAAAATTCTATTGTGATACTATTTTTGTCACTTAGTGGTCTGTCAAAACTCCAAAATTTTTTTTACCTCATGTCTTGAAAATGTTATGAGAAAGTGAGCATGCTCATTGCTAGTGAAAATGAAAAAACAGATCTAACTTCAAAAAGAGAAATTTGGCAATAGCAAAATTGCATATATATATATCTTGACTCCGAATTTCTAATTCTAATAATTTTGCTCAAATACAGACTGGTTAAACCATGAGAGGGTATATGTACATAACTACTCAGGGCTTTTCAAATAATAAAAGCCTAGAAATAACCATCAACAGGGAACTTGCTAGAAAATTGTGATCTTTTTTTCTTGGTGAAACAGCTTGGCTATCATTTTAGAGCATCAGTTGAGAACTCAGGTTAGAAAATAATAAATATAGACATAAGTGCGATCATTCTGGCATGAAGAATGTCAGATCCGCTGACCATCCGTGAAGGAACAAATCAGCTGACTATACAAAAAAAATGTAGATGGTCTAAATAAGTCAAGAACAATCTGGAAGTCATCTCAATATCCATAATAGAGAACCAGTTAGATATGACCGAGTATTCACACACTAGGTACTAGGTAGCCAATAAGATCTGTTTGTTTTTAAAAATTAGGTGAAAAAAGCCGCTTTGGACAAGCCTTTATGTGGACACAGGTTTTGATTTCTTAGTAAGTATTTTGGGAGTGGCATTGCTGGTCATGTAACAAGTATGTAATTTTAAAAAATTAGTTTTTTTCAAAGCGGTTGTTCCATTTTGCAGTCACAGGAGAGACCCCGATGCTCTGCCTCCTTGCCAACATTTGGCCCTGTCCTCCACTTTCTGGCCATTCTAATGGCGGGGGACACAGTGCCCATCTCTTTACTGTAACCCCATTTTAAACACGGATCTCTTAAAACACGTGGGAGTCTGGAAGAAAATGGCTGGCTGCACTCTGCAAACCATTTCTTTCTGTTTTTCCTCACAAAACGCGTCGACGGCATCCAGGACACGCGGCGGCCAGGCCGGCCTAGCCCGACCCGGGGCCGAGCGGCTCGATCAGGACCACGATCCCCCTCAGGCCGCCGCCTCCGGCCGCACGTCATCCTTCTAAGAACTTCGCCGTGAGACGCGCAAGGCGGGCGGGCTCCGGGGCCGGAGGCTCCTCCCACAGGCCCGGTAGGACCCGCCTACCACGGGGGGTGGGAAATCAGCTCGGCTTCCGGTCTCGCGCTCGGCGCTTCATCCCGCGAGAAGAGAGCAAGGCCGCCGTCGGCCGAGCCGCGGCCGGGGCGAGGAAGGGGGTGTGGCCGGGGTGTAAGGGAGAGGGGGGCGGGGTCGCGCGCCTCGGGCGTACGCATGCGCGCACGCTGCTGGCCGGGCTGGGCGGAGAGGGGAGGGGGCGGCGGCGGCCGAGGCAGAGGCGGCGTCGTCCTCGCCGTGGTCCGGACGGTGCGTGGCGGCGCGGGTGGCCACGGGAGAAGGAGGTAGGGACCGCCTCTGCGGTGCCATCGAGCCTCTCCGCGTTGGCGCGTCCGAGGGCCGCGGACCCCTGCCCTCCCCGCCAGCCCTGGGCGCCTGGCGGACCCCGGGGACGCCGGGTCACCCTGCGGGCCCCGCGCTGCAGGTACGAGCCGAGGCCCCCCGGCCTGGCCCGGCGTTACCGGGACGACGGCGGGCGTGCCGGTCCCCGCGGCTCCCTGCCTCCCGCGCGGCCACAGCCCTGTCCTTGCTTCCGCGCCCCGCGGGGCCGGGCCCGAGGACTGCGACCCGGCGGGGGAGCGCTCGCTCTCCCGAGGCTGGGCCGGGGAGCTCCGGGCCGCTGCAAGGCGTGCGTGCACTTGAGTACTTGTCGCTCGGGGGTTCCTGGGCCGCAAGAGGGTAACGCGCCTGGTGCCCTGGGCACGGGTGGCCGGCAGTGAAACTTAGAAGAAGTGGAGTTGGTTGTTTTGGTGTCAGCACTGTGGGATGTGTGGTTTTTTTTTCCTTATTAAATAGTGGGGAGGTCAACTCTTTTGTAAGTTCTTGTAGGTGGTGGTTTGTTAGCAAATTGAGGTAGTATTAATTAACATGAATTTCATGTTAAGGACATTTGTTTTGCCGACTTGGGAGAGTTCTGCTTAGAGAGTTTTAGTAAGGCACATAGTACCTAAACAAACGACACTTTCTTTTTAAGAAATGCTCTTGCCCTGGAACCTCCACACCGAGTCTTAATAGCTGTTAATTTTACAGGCATAATGGTTATGAAAGCTTCAGTGGATGAGGATGATGCAGGATGGGAGCTCAGCATGCCAGAAAAAATGGAGAAAAGCAATTCAAGTTGGGTGGATATAACTCAAGATTTTGAAGAAGCTTGTCGAGGTGAGTTTGAATTTTTGTAAGTTCAAAGCCTGGGCAAGGAGCAAATAAAATTCTTGGAGTTCCTAGATTGATGGCAGTAAGTGAAATCAACAGGTAAGTGTGGTTTGTCAAGTTTTGTTCAGCACACTTCCGCCTCTACCCTCCAATTTTATCTTTCTTTTGAAGCCAGCTTGGGATGATATAAATTAAGACCCGGTGTTAAGGCAGGTGGGCCGAGTAGTCAGCACTTAATTCCAATTGTGGAGATGGCTGTGCTGCTGTGGAGCTGAGGTTTTGAGGAGTGGTCAGCTCAGCAGACTCCTGGCTTCTACTTGTGGCTCTGTCTTCCTGGAACAGACACACCTGTGCTCCCTCCACAGACATTGCATCAATGCCTCACAAGACTCCTCCTCTTCCAGGCTCAAGGTCCCTCTTATCTCCTTCTTCAACATGCTGTGGTTCCCTGGCCTTGCAAGCTTTGTTTTCTCTGTCTGAGCCGCCTGTAAGTGGCTTCCTCTTGACCTGCACACTCAGGACCTCGGCATCATCACGCTGAGCACCTCCACTCCCCTGCCTGCTCTCAGTCTACCCCAGCTGAATCGCATGCTTTATTTCCCTCACACGGCTAATATGTGTCTGAAGCTTTTCATTTTCAAAGATTCCTTGTTTCTTTAGTCTCATCCACTAGCTGTCAGCTCTCTGGGCACCGAGATCGTGTCTGCAACCCCAGCACACAAAGCAGTGCCTGGCACAGACTAAGTAAATGTTTGGGGATAAGCAACTGGAGAAGTGAGCACGGCTGTGCGAAGGAATGAGCCGTGGGCAGAGACTGCAGATGAGAGAAAGAAACACGTGATCCAGTGAGCCTCAAGTCCGAGAAGGGGGAGTGAAGAGTGCGGTGGGGAGTGAACTTGGGGAGGTGCGCAGGGGCCCGCTTGGAACAGGAGTGGATGTTCAGGCAGATGGGGGTCTTCAAAGGGTCACGCAGCATGTATTTCATGAAAAGCAGTGGGCATGGATTAAAATATTTTTTTTTATCGTCAAAATGAACTCATCTTCCGATCCCATGAACCTTCTAAGGAACCTCATAGTTCTAAGTGGGTGCTCGTGATGGCGCTGTTTTCCTGAGGAGCTTGATTGTTTTGAGAACAGTGAGGTGCAGTGTGTTTAAATAGCGCTCTGAAGGAGTGAAGATTGGGAGTGGTTGCAGGTGGAAAGGGAGCCAGGTGTGTCTAAGCAAGGTGATAAATCATGGGCCTTTCCTGTGTGGTGAGGATGCCTGCTGGGTAGACTGGGAGTTGGGTGAGCGCCCGTGTATGTATCTGAGGGAGAAAGAAGGAGGTGTCGTTTTTGTGCGCAGGGATCTTCGGCCAGTGCCTGCATCCTGCCTGTCATCTTGCCCTGATTTTGAGTGATCTGCTGTGGAAGGCTGTCTCTGTGGTCATTAAGAACTTAGGGGGAAGACTTTAAGAAGGAGCTTAGGCTTCGGTTGGATCTTATGGGACAGGGTGAGCTTCTGTAAGTGATTCTGTCAGGTGCTGCCTGAGCCAGAGTTCACTGAGCGTTTCATGTTTTAGAAATAGTGAAACATTTGGCTTGGCTGTAGAACAGCTTTGAGTGCTAGGATTGTAGAAAGGCTTTGGTGCTTTTTTTGGTTTCTGTTTGAGCTTATTTTCCAAACAGTAGGAAATCTTTTCAGGGTTTTGAATGTAAGATTGAGAGTGTATTCCCTTTTATGTTGAGTACAATGACTTGGACAAAGTAACTTCTTGGAAAATACAAAACTTTAGAGTGAGACATGAGATGGAGTTCCAGCTCTTGCTGCCCATTAGCTGTTATTTTGGATAGTGATTTAATCTTAGTCATCCCTGCAAAGTGGAGCTGCCTCGTGGAGTTGGAGTGATTAAATGAGATTAGATGTGAATTACTTGTTCTGCAGCAGTCATGGTAGCTGTTGCTCCTAGTGTTTGTTTAAATTGGTTAACTTTTATGAAGTTATCAGTATAATTTGAGAGAGAGAGAGTGTGTACTTGGGCAAGCTTTATTTCTTATTTTTAGTTGATGTTAGGTGCTGGACTAAGTTAGGGGCAGGGTTGAGTAGAAGGGTTAATGTGTGAGAACAGAGAGTGTTCAGGTGACTAGAGTGGGGAGTGTTGCAGTGGCGAAAGGAGCGTTAGACATGCGGCTTGAGATGCTTCTCCGACATAGAGAAGAGTGAACACATGCACCCCAAGGCCAGAGTCGGTTTTTGTTTTTTGTTTTAAAGATTTATATATTTTTATTGCAAAGTCAGATATACAGAGAGGAGAGAGAGACAGGAAGATCTTCCATCCGATGATTCACTCCCCAAGTGACTGCAACAGCTGGAGCTGAGCCAATCCGAAGCCGAAGCCAAGAGCCCTGAACCTCTTCCAGGTCTCCCACGCAGGTGCAGGGTCCCAAGGCTTTGGGCCGTCCTTGACTGCTTTCCCAGGCCACAAGCAGAGAGCTGGATGGGAAGTGGGGCTGCTGGGATTAGAACCGGTGCCCATATGGGATCCCGGGGCATGTGCAAGGTGAGGACTTTAGCTGCTGGGCTACCACAGCAGGCCCCAGAGCCAAAGTTTTACATGATACAGTTTGGAGAGTGCAGATCTGCATTGTTTAGTTTGAACTAAGTATGACTTTAGAGACCCTCTAATTTTAGTTCCACTTTTCATTTGTATGTCTTCTGTTTTTTTTGGGGGGAGGGGTTGCTTATGCTTCATCATAAGGAAGAGCTGAATTCAAGAAAACAGTTTAATATTAGGGAAGGTAGATGGTTTTGGCCTGGCCTTGTGTTCTGTCGTTAATTAACCCAGTTTCTTTGTGGAAGGCATCATGAGTAGGAGATGGTTTAGTTACTCCTTTGCATTACATTAGTTGTGATAATATTACATTAAATTTTGTAATTTTTGGGTGACTCTCTGGAACCAGGGCAGTTATGAGCACAAGCGTGGGCACTGAAATTGTAGTAAGTCTTGATCATAGTGTTATCATCCGGGTGATATGGAATATATTCCTGTGATCTCCAAGGATTACTGGAGTGATTAAATAGCCCTTTAACATTATTATAGAGGAGTTATAGATTCTCAGCAACTTTGATGATCATCTTCTCCATTTTTCCAAATCTGTATCCAGGTTGAGAATCATTGTTCTAAGAATTTGTTGTGTGACTATTTTTAAAGACTTATTTATTTGAAAGGCTGTGCTACAGAAAGGGGAATATCTTCCGCCTGGTGGTCCACTGCCCAAGCAGCAGCAGCAGCAACCTGGGTTGGCCAGGCTGGGGCCAGGCTGCAGCCAGGAGCTTGTTCCAGGTCTCCCATGTGGGTGCTGGGATGCAAGCACTGGGATGGTCTTCCACTGCCTTCCCAGGCACATGAGCAGGGAGCTGGATTGGAACAGGAGGAGCCAGGACTTGAGCTGGTGCCCATATGGGATGCTATCGCTGCAGGCAGTGCTGCTCAGCTGCCTGTGCCACAGCACCATCCCCTGTTAGTGTTCTTAGAGGAAAAGGCTGTGCGGGATGGTTCAGGAGCTCAGCAGCCTTTAAGACAGGTTTTTAATAGATTATTTTGGAAATGAGAGTTAAGTTTTTTTTTAAATTTTGTGCCATCACTAAGGATGTTTTCAGTGGTGGGGCAGACATGCCTGGCGTGTGTAAGTCACTTTCTCACAGTGGTTCTCAGCTGGAGGTGATTCTGTCTCAAAGGACATTTTTGAGTATTATGATATTGGGGAGAGGTTGCTCCCGAGTTCATACGAGGCATTCTGCTAACCATCCAGCTAACAAGGTAGCCCTCACAGAAGAGGAATTGTTCTCTCCAAAATATCACTTGCACTGGTTAGTTCACTCCACTAGATTATTTTCAAGAATGTTTATCCATTATTCATATTCTCCAGACTGGAGTTTTTAGGAAAGAAATACAGCATGGTGAATGGACTGGTTCCTTTGGCGTACTTTGAGTGCTTCTCTGCATTGTTGAATACATTACAACAAATTTTCCCTGTCCAGGGGCTGGTGTTGTGGCGTAGTAGGCTGAACCTCCAACTGTGAAACTGGCATCCCCTGTGGGGGCCGATCTGTGTCCTGGCTGCTCCGCTTCTCATCTGCCTTCCTGCTGTTGCCTGGAAAATCAGCAGAGGATGACTCCAAGTCCTTGGGTTCCTGCACCCCCTCCTGGGAGACCCAGAACTAGCTCCTGGCTCCGCATCAGCTCAGCTTGAATAGTGAGTTAATAGTTAAGTGGAAGAAAAGTTAGCTTGGACTACCATAAACCTCACTAGGTAGGACACAAAGATTAGTTTACTCCTTACTAAGGTATTGATGATTTCTCTGCACACACCTGCTAAAATCGTTCTGCTCCTCAGTCTTTAACGTATGGCTTATGAGAGTTAAAAGCCTGTTTGGACTGTTTCTTCCTGTTGTTGAAGTTGTGTAATGGCTTTTCATTGGAGGGGATGATATTGTGCCAGCTTTACTTTCAGATCAAGGATGGCCTCCCAATGAACTGTTGAATTTATGTGGACAATAAGATGCTGGACTCTGCATGGACTCTGCACAGCCCATGCCTGCAATGAAGGAATCATGGCTGGTTGTGAACTGTACTACTATAACAATATGGAGGAATTCAATATGGGTGGAAGTGTTGGGGGGAACCCCAGAAGCTATGAAACTGTGTCATAAAATGAAATAATAATAAAAAAATGGTTAAGTGGAAGAGCTCTGGGGCTCTCACCTGTGCCTCCCGTATACCTGCTCATTCTAGTGCTACTTTAGCCTGCAGTTCACTGGATGATTCTGAAGACTTGTTTCACAGTCTCCACAGAAAGTCTGCAGGGTGATCCTCCCTACATGTGGGGCATCACCCAGTGTGGTTGATTTGGGCAGGGCGCTGGGGGCTGTGTCTATGCTCCTCCACATTGAGCCTCACCTTTACTGCACTGTGGGAAGCAAGTTGCCAACAAGGTTGGTTTTGTGTTTTTGCACCGCTGTGTTT